CCGTGCTGTAGTTCCTTTATAGCCCAACATTAGCCGCCTTTAGCTTAGCGGTGGTGACGTGAAGTCATGTGACCGTGCTGTAGTTCCTTTATAGCCCAACATTAGCCGCCTTTAGCTTAGCGGTGGTGACGTGAAGTCATGTGACCGTGCTGTAGTTCCTTTATAACCCAACATTAGCCACCTTTAGCTTAGCGGTGGTGACGTGAAGTCATGTGACCGTGCTGTAGTTCCTTTATAGCCCAACATTAGCCACCTTTAGCTTAGCGGTGGTGACGTGAAGTCATGTGACCGTGCTGTAGTTCCTTTATAGCCCAACATTAGCCCCTTTAGCTTAGCTGTGGTGACGTGAAGTCATGTGACCGTGCTGTAGTTCCTTGATAGCCCACATTAGCCACCTTTAGCTTAGCGGTGGTGACGTGAAGTCATGTGACCGTTGCTGTAGTTTCCTTGATAGCCCAACATTAGCCACCTTTAGCTTAGCGGTTGGTGACGTGAAGTCATGTGACCGTGCTGTAGTTTCCTTTATAGCCCAACATTAGCCGCCTTTAGCTTAGCGGTGGTGACGTGAAGTCATGTGACCGTGCTGTAGTTCCTTTATAACCCAACATTAGCCGCCTTTAGCTTAGCGGTAGTAAAAACGTTGAGACCACTATATTTAGCATTTAGTAACTTCTGTCTTCCTCTCTCTTTCTGCAGCGCCTCGAAGGAAACCACAAAGAAAGGCAACATGAAGAGAGAGAACAAGGCGTATTCCTACAAGGAGCAGACCATCGAGCTGGAGTTACAGGCGGTAACTAACCATCATCTTTGTTTATTTTAGATATTAATCAGTTTTAATTTAAGCATTCTTAGTCTGTTAGTAGCTAGAACGTTAGCTTTTTACCTCAGAAATCATAAAGTGGTGTTAATAAGTGGAGATTATCCTGCTGAACTGAACGTGTTGGCATCATAATATCTCTGTATCATGACCTTACCCCATGCTGGAGGTCCTCAGATTTCCCCATCAGGTCGTCCAGCCTCTCCCCCCGGGCGAGGATGCGGTCCACGTTCTGCGTCATGATGTCTTTCACCCCGTCCACCTGGTTCTTCAGGATCTGAACCTTGTCTTTGGGCTCCGGCGCCGCCTCGGCTCCTCCTCGCTCCTGGGACCACACAGAAAAAGAAAAGTAATTCAATGTAGAAATGTGTTGATGAAAGGAGCATTACACATGGGAGCGGCAGTGGATTTTTTTTAAAAGGCCTAAAAATGCATCTTTTTAGAATAGACTTTTACTAGATCTTTAAAACCCCCTCTTGTTGCCATACCGGCGTAAACGTCACTGCTTTTGTTTTGTCGTTGTATTCGTTTTTGTCGTTTTGTTTCAACCATTTTACTCTGTAGCACTTTGAGTTTTGTTTACTCAAATTAAAAGTGCGCTTGTAAATAAAATTGACTGTTATTATTATGAAATGTATGGTGTAGGGCTTAAACTACTTTAAAAACAATAATTAAAAAATACGTTAAGCTGTCAAAAGTTAGTTTTATTGCATTCATTTACAGTAAGTGGAATGTGATGTGGGCTAAAACTACAGAATGTTTCCATTTTCAATTAATCTTCAATTATTAATCAATAGATTTGATTGTTTAGTCTATAAATGTCTTGTTTTGACAGTCCCACACTTAAGGATATTCACTTAGGTATTATGTAAAACAGAAAGAAAGAAGGATATCTCAATTTCTGAGACTTATAAACAGCATTTTCTGAAATAATTGCATGAAAAATACCAATAAATGGATTATCAAAATAGTTGTAGCTTATAAAAAACACCAAAAATACAATTTCAACTTATGAAATATGACCAGGTTACTCAATATAATCCTCAGATCTTATTTATAGCAGTGCTCATGAAGGAGCTATTTAATTTGTACTGAACTAGACCTGCCAGTTTCTCCAAAATAATTCCCAAAAAGTTCTTTATTTAAAATGTTGTTTTGAAGAAAACTAACACAAATATTGAATAATCACATATATATAAAGCGTAATCAATTTATATCAAACCGACTTTAATGCCCTTTTCCCGCCGAAGCGGTTCCAGGGCCAGTTTGGAGCTAGTGCTTTTTTTTTTTTATTCTTGCAAATTACTGCACTTGCACAATTGTATGTTTTGTTATGCCTTCAGTTTATTGCATGTTGCATTATTGAAGGAGACTTCAGATTTCCATTGACAAACTAAGCTGAAGCTAAATGACAATAAAGCCTCTGAATCATGAGCTCCAGAAACGTGAGAAAACATAGAATAACTTTGCCTAAGAAAATGTCTCAAAGTCGTAAATAAAATCCACATTTGTTTATTATTCCTGCAACTTATTGTAAGAGATGAAGGAGTCGGGACCTTTACACGTTTATTACGCCGTAGCTTTTGTAAGAATAACATTCCTTTTCGTCTATGTTGAGTAATAAGAGGCAGCCATTTCCCATGAGGCAACAGGGCTGTAAACACAACGGTCTCCAGGAAACAGAGCCTGATGTCTCCCTGCTCTCCTGTTACCTCCTCTACTCTGCTCCTTTCATGAACTTACAGCGGCCACTCTCCTGTAGTGTGTTATATAGGTTTTAGTGCACGTCAATGGTCTGCAGAGGCTAAAATCCTTCCTTTGTTTACTTCTATAAACATACTGACATCACTGTTTAACACTCACGCTTCTATTGGCTAGCGCTCCACATTGTAAGTGACAGGCTAAGGGGCGGGACATCTCTAAGCGGTTGACCAATCACAACAGAGCCGACCAGCTAACCAATCAGAGCAGCTCTGGTTTCAGACAGAGGGTGAAAGGAGGTGCTGCAGCACAGACAGTATGAGAACAATACAGAGCTTTTTGAACATTAAAGCATGGAGACATGTAGAGACACTACATACTGATATACACCTGAACATCAGCAGGAGAGGACTCTTTAAAGTAGAGACACTACATACTGATATACACCTGAACATCAGCAGGAGAGGACTCTTTAAAGTAGAGACACTACATACTGATATACACCTGAACATCAGCAGGAGAGGACTCTTTAAAAGTAGAGACACTACATACTGATATACAACCTGGAACATCAGCAGGAGAGGGACTCTTAAAGTAGAGGCACTACATACTGATATATAACCTGAACATCAGCAGGATAGGACTCTTTAAAGTAGAGACACTACTATACTGATATACACCTGAACATCAGCAGGAGAGGACTCTTTAAAGTAGAGACACTACATACTGATATACGACCTGAACATCAGCTGAGAGGACTCTTTAAAGTAGAGACACTACATACTGATATACACCTGAACATCAGCAGGAGAGGACTCTTTAAAGTAGAGACACTACATACTGATATACACCTGAACATCAGCAGGAGAGGACTCTTTAAAGTAGAGACACTACATACTGATATACACCTGACATCAGCAGGAGAGGACTCTTTAAAGTAGAGACGACTACATACTGATATACACCTGAACATCAGCAGGAGAGGACTCTTTAAAGTAGAGACACTACATACTGGATCTACACTGAACATCAGTAGGAGAGGACTCTTTAAAGTAGAGACACTTAACATACTGATATACACCATGAACATCAGCAGGAGAGGACTCTTTAAAGTAGAGACACTACATACTGATATACACCTGAACATCAGCAGGAGAGGACTCTTTAAAGTAGAGACACTACATACTGATATACACCTGAACATCAGCAGGAGAGGACTCTTTAAAGTAGAGACACTACATACTGATATACACCTGAACATCAGCAGGAGAGGACTCTTTAAAGTAGAGACACTACATACTGATATACACCTGAACATCAGCAGGAGAGGACTCTTTAAAGTAGAGACACTACATACTGATATACACCTGAACATCAGCAGGAGAGGACTCTTTAAAGTAGAGACACTACATACTGATATACACCTGAACATCAGCAGGAGAGGACTCTTTAAAGTAGAGACACTACATACTGATATACACCTGAAACATCAGCAGGAGAGGACTCTTTAAAGTAGAGACACTACGTACTGATATACACCTGAACATCAGCAGGAGAGGACTCTTTAAAGTAGAGACACTACATACTGATATACACCTGAACATCAGCAGGAGAGGACTCTTTAAAGTAGAGACACTACATACTGATATACACCTGAACATCAGCAGGAGAGGACTCTTTAAAGTAGAGACACTACATACTGATATACACCTGGACATCAGCAGGAGAGGACTCTTTAAAGTAGAGATACTACATACTGATATACACCTGAACATCAGCAGGAAGAGGACTCTTAAAGTAGAGACCTACATACTGATATAAACAACCTGAACATCAGCATGAGAGGACTCTTTAATGTAGAGTACACTACATACTGAATATAACACCTGAACATCATCAAGTAGAGGGACTCTTTCAAGTAGAGACACTACATACTGATATTACAACCCTGAACATCCACATGAGAGGACTCTTTAAAGTAGAGACACTACATACTGATAGTACACCTGAACTCAGTCAGCAGGAGAGGGACTCTTTAAAGTAGAGACACTTACATACTGATATACACCTGAACATCAGCAGGAGAGGACTCTTTAAAGTAGAGACACTACATACTGATATACAACCTGAACAAACAATCAGCAGGAGAGGACTCTTTAAAGTAGAGACACTACAATGCTGATATACAACCCTGAACATCAGCAGGAGAGGACTACCTTTAAAGTAGAGACACTACATGACTGAATATACACCTGAACATCAGCAGGAAGAGGACTCTTAAAGTAGAGACACTACATACTGATATACACTGAACATCAGCAGGAGAGGACTCTTTAAAGTAGAGACACTACATACTGATATACACCTGAACATCAGCAGGAGAGGACTCTTTAAAGTAGAGACCTACATACTGATATACACCTGAACATCACAGCAGGAAGGCTCTTTAAAGTAGAGACACTATACTGATATACACCTGAACATCAGCAGGAGAGGACTCTTTAAAGTAGAGACACTACATACTGATATACACGAACATCAGCAGGAGAGGACTCTTTAAGGTAGAGACACTACATACTGATGTACACCTGAACATCAGCAGAGAGGACTCTTTAAAGTAGAGACACTACATACTGATATACACCGAAACATCAGCAGGAGAGGACTCTTTAAAGTAGAGACACTACATACTGATTACAACCTGAACATCATCAGCAGGAGAGGACTCTTTAAAGTAGAGACACTACATACTGATATACACCTGAACATCAGCAGGAGAGGACTCTTTAAAGTAGAGACACTACATACTGATGTACACCTGAACATCAGCATGTGAGGACTCTTTAAAGTAGAGACACTACATATGATGTACACCTGAACATCAGCAGGAGAGGACTCTTTAAAGTAGAGACACTACAACTGATATACACCTGAACATCAGCAGGAGAGGATCTTTAAAGTAGAGACACTACATACTGATATACACCTGAACATCAGCAGGAGAGGACTCTTTAAAGTAGAGACACTACATACTGATGTTACACCTGAACATCAGCAGGAGAGGACTCTTTAAAGTAGAGACACTACATACTGATATACACCTGACATCAGCAGGAGAGGACTCTTTAAAGTAGAGACACTACATACTGATATACACCTGAACATCAGCAGGAGAGGACTCTTTAAAGTAGAGACACTACATACTGATATACACCTGAACATCATTATTCTCTCCCTCCTTTAAAGTGTAGTGAACCACTGAGTGGCTGACAGATATCAAGTATCAACTCTCAGAAGGAGGATGAAGACAGAAACATTTTTAAAAAGTTCCTGCATCGACGGCGACTTCTCAAATACTTGAACTTGCTGTGCATAGAAACATCTTCCAGTAAACCTAATGATGGTTCAATCATCTTGTAAATATGCTTAAAGTTATCCGGATAAAGAGCTCTCTGAAATGTGAATCAGTTGAATCGACTCCAAGTCATTTGAATGCGGTTGTAAATGCAAAGCGTGGATTTCATTAATCACTTTAAACCCTCACCGCTCCGGTTCTTATCGAGTCAAATGTGGAACAACAGGCAGTTAGATTTGACACTGATTATGTAAAACAACACTCGTACATTCGGCAGGGTTTTCCCCTTCCTCTCTGAGTCAGTGTAGCGTACAGTAAAAATGGGTTTTCTAGACTTTTAATGTTTCAAAACACCAGAAATCACTATTTTTAAAGCAGAAGTCTGCATGTTAAAACCAACAGACGAACACTGGACAAGCTTCTGTTAGATGTGTGAAGATACACGTTAAACTTAGCTGGATGGCTGCAACCAACAATGACTTACTGCCATTACCTATTTAATCAAATGCAAACTATTATTGTGTAAAATCTATTAATGTTTGGTCCATAAAATGTCAGAAAATTGAGACAAATGTGTTTATTTGTCAGAGCAAAACTATAGATAATAACTTGAACTGATACACAAATTAGAAATAGTAGCATCTCTCGTTATTGTAGAAGCTGGATGTTTCAAAACCTCAGAAATCACTATTTTTAAAGCCAAGTTTTGCACCTAGTTAGATTATTTTAGGAGCGAGTTCGACACGTTGTCACAGAGTCGTTATTAACACAATATAAGGCTGCGATCAACAATTATTAAATATCGTTTCGTGTGGAAATTAGAATGTTGAGTAATCGATTAATCATGTAGTAAATGTCTCGTTTGGTCTTCACGTGTGAAAACGAACTATATTCAATTCAAAATTATATAAAAACTAAGAAAAGCAACAAATCTCCTCATTTTGGAAACTAAAAATATCATTTTCTGTTCATTTTGGATTTAAAGTTTGAACAGAGTTGGGATTTATTTTCTGCAGATCGATTTATAAATGATTTGACTCGTCAATGCAGCTCTACAGTAAGGAAGCACATGATGTATACTAACACTACACACTGATATACACCTGAACATCAACAGGAGAGGACTCTTTAAAGTAGAGACACTACACACTGATATACACCTGAACATCAGCAGGAGAGGACTCTTTAAAGTAGAGACACTACATACTGATATACACCTGAACATCAGCAGGAGAGGACTCTTTAAAGTAGAGACACTACATACTGATATACACCTGAACTCAGCAGGAGAGGACTCTTTAAAGTAAGACACTACATACTGATATACACCTGAACATCAGCAGGAGAGGACTCTTTAAAGTAGAGACACTACATACTGATATACACCTGAACATCAGCAGGAGAGGACTCTTTAAAGTAGAGACACTACACACTGATATACACCTGAACATCAGCAGGAGAGGACTCTTTAAAGTAGAGACACTACATACTGATATACACCTGAACATCAGCAGGAGAGGACTCTTTAAAGTAGAGACACTACATACTGATATACACCTGAACATCAGCAGGAGAGGACTCTTTAAAGTAGAGACACTACATACTGATATACACCTGAACATCAGCAGGAGAGGACTCTTTAAAGTAGAGAAACTATACTGATATACACCTGAACATCAGCAGGAGAGGACTCTTTAAAGTAGAGACACTACACACTGATATACACCTGACATCAGCAGGAGAGGACTCTTTAAAGTAGAGACACTACATACTGATATACACCTGAACATCAGCAGGAGAGGACTCTTTAAAGTAGAGACACTACACTACTGATATACACCTGAACATCAGCAGGAGAGGACTCTTTAAAGTAGAGACACTACATACTGATATACACCTGAACATCAGCAGGAGAGGACTCTTTAAAGTAGAGACACTACATACTGATATACACCTGAACATCAGCAGGGAGAGGACTCTTTAAAGTAGAGACACTACATACTGATATACACCTGAACATCAGCAGGAGAGGACTCTTTAAAGTAGAGACGACTACATACTGATATACACCTGAACGTCAGGCAGGAGAGGGACTCTTAAAGTAGAGGACACTACACTACTGATATACACCTGAACATCAGCAGGAGAGGACTCTTTAAAGCTAGAGAGACTACATACTGATATACACCTGAACATCAGCAGGAGAGGACTCTTTAAAGTAGAGACACTACATACTGATATACACCTGAATATCAGCAGGAGAGGACTCTTTAAAGTAGAGACACTACATACTGATATACACCTGAACGTCAGCAGGAGAGGACTCTTTAAAGTAGAGACACTACATACTGATATACACCTGAACGTCAGCAGGAGATGACTCTTTAAAGTAGAGAGACTACATACTGATATACACCTGACGTCAGCAGGAGAGGACTCTTTAAAGTAGAGACACTACATACTGATATACACCTGAACATCAGCAGGAGAGGACTCTTTAAAGTAGAGACACTACATACTGATATACACCTGAACATCAGCAGGAGAGGACTCTTTAAAGTAGAGACCCTACATACTGATATACACCTGAACATCAGCAGGAGAGGACTCTTTAAAGTAGAGACACTACATACTGATATACACCTGAACATCAGCAGGAGAGGACTCTTTAAAGTAGAGACACTACATACTGATATACAAGTTTGAGACAACTACAGCTGTATTCGACATTTAGAAATCTATAATAATTCTATGATTTATTTGAGGTATTATATAAGTGTAACATGACTACATTTAATAACATGACAACTTTTAAAAATGCCTTTCTTAGCTCAGTTTTATACCAAATATATAAGCCGGTGTATCAAAGTAGCTCAGGAGGTAAAAGTTGGAATATTACCCCCAAAAAGTGCATTTCAGAGGAGAATTGATCGTCTTTTACCTGTGATTTATTGATTAGATGAAACATAATTAGCTATATTAAACTACCTTAAGAACATTAACTACCCAGCTAATATCCGGCAGTGTCTCAGTCAGTAGGGGCTTGGACTGTGAGCTGTAGGGTCGCCGGTTCAAGTCCCGACCAGACCTAAATATGGAGTGTGGACTGCTACTTGGAGAGGTCCCAGTTCACCTCCTGCCCTGCCGTGGTGCCCTTGGGCAAGGCACCGGACTTCCCCCTTCCCCCCCGGGTGCTGTACACTAGCTGCCTCTCCTACTACTAGACTCCTGGTACTAGGATGGGTAAAAAGCAGAGAACACATGTCACTGTGTGCTCCGTGTGTGTGACCATTAAAGAGGGTTTCATCCCTCCCAATCTATCTATCTATGAAACTGAGAGGCTTTTTTTTTTTTAAGTTGTCATGTGATGTATGACTTAAATATAACCCTGAGATCAATTTAAAATAATAATATAACTTAAATGTACACTATCAAACTAGCTCAGGATGTAAAAATAGGAATTTGACCCCCAAAAAGTGCATTTGAGAGGGAAATGTGGCACTTTTTACCACTATATCAAAGTATAGTTAAAAACTCTTTATTTAATTGTTTTAATTTTTATCTTGCACTGTTTTATTCTAACTTTTTTTTAAATGCAACTTTTATATTATTCCTATTTATGTTTATTTAACAGTTTTATTTGTGTACCTTATTTTAAAATGTAGTATTTACAGACAACAACCAGTGAAGAAAGTGTTTTAAAATATGCGGGAAACCACCATTAGTATGACTTAATTAGCGAAATAAAAAGATGTCAATTAATTAAAACCGAATAAAAGAGTTATTTTAAGATTTTGGCCTAAATTAATTCACAATAAAAACCTGTATTTCCACTAAAGAGTGTTTGGTTTCTACAGATATAAAGGGACTTTCTCTCAATCAACGCTAAGTTAAAACACACACTTATTAAACTAACTTTATGACATGATTTAAAGTTATGTTATCCATAAAATCCACCTGTTGAGTGTCGTTAAACACGGTGACGGTGAAGAAACAAACAAGCTTCCGCCATTATCACCTACCGGATCAATGTCCATGTTGGTGGAAATAGTCCCGATTGAGCCCCAAAAGGTGGATGAAGTAGGTTCAAAGTTGTTGTTGTTGTTTGCAAGTTTTATTCAACTCTTTTTTTAGTTGTTTACAGAGTTTTATGCTCCAACAACAGCGAGCGTTTCCTCTTCTGTCTGACTTCCTGGTTACTTTTTTTTTCCTCCTTTCAAAGTAAATTCCTCCGCGTCATGTGTAAAGCGGCCAATAACGTAGGGACTACTTCTTTATTTTCAAAACAAAGCAGGTCTAAAAGTCATGCTGTGTTTTAATATCGTTTGGAAAATGATATATAATCCTTAAACATGTCAGAAACAAAGCCACCTTTCCTACACTTTATACAATAACACATGAAGAGTGATACGACTACAATTACCCCAAATTAAATGCTTTGCTGTACGATCCAATTCATTCCATAAAAACAGAAAGCAGCCTCCGCAGATTTATTGTGTAATACTTTCAGGTTCTTCTAAAACACATGCATTGGAGGATCTGAATGTCTTTGTTATAACATGAAAGGCAGTATTTGATGTGTGTAGGGGACAGGTTGCCGTGTAAATCATTAAAAGCACTTTAAAATCAATTCTGAAAGACACCGATAACCATTTCAGTGATTCCAGCACATGGTGTACTTCTACTCCACTACATGTATTTAATCCCTTTAGTTACTTTACAGATGTGGATGAATGATGTGAAATATAATCAAGTGTTGAATCAGACTTTAGTTCCACCTGGAGTAAATCCACAAGCTACCCTGCAGTATACAAAGTCATTCAAACTAGCTGCACCTTTACCAGCTTTGAGAACACTTTAATGATCAATCATTATAAAACATATCATATATATTATTCTGAAATGGACCAATCTGCACAACGACTACTTTTACTGTCGCTACTTTCACTATATTTTGATGAGAATACTTTTACTCAAGAACAAGATCTGAGTACTTCTACTACAATATCTGAGTACTTCTACTTTTACTCATCTGCATAATGAGTAGCCTACTTTTAGTACTTTATTTTGAAGCCAAAACGTTTGTACCTTTACTTGAGTAACATTTTGAATGCAGGACTTTTACTGTAACAGAGTATTTGTAATTCTTTGTATTGCCAACTTGATTTAAATCTACTTCTTTCACCCCTGACTGACTGTATCTCTAGCTAAAGGTTGGATAAGTGTTTAATGTTGTTCCACCCTGCAGATCTGCTCCGTCACAGCTGCACCGACCGGTTTCTCCTCCATCAGCAGGGCAGAGCGACACCTTGATACTGAGTCAGACAAGTGCTGGGAATCACAAGCAGCTAAAAATAACCCTCTATGAGTCTGCTACAACAACAAATATTTGAAAATGTAAGACAACACTTTATCTATCAAGGTTAAACAACGTCTGAAATAATACGGCATTGATTAAAGGAGCCATTTGAGAGACATGTTAAACGGTTGATTTTATTATCATGACAAAATGTAACTTAAAGGGGCCCGCCTTTAGCTTAGCGGTGGTGACGTGAAGTCATGTGACCGTGCTGTAGTTCCTTTATAGCCCAACATTAGCCACCTTTAGCTTAGCGGTGGTGACATGAAGTCATGTGACCGTGCTGTAGTTCCTTTATAGCCCAACATTAGCCACCTTTAGCTTAGCGGTGGTGACATGAAGTCATGTGACCGTGCTGTAGTTACTTTATAACCCAACATTAGCCGCCTTTAGCTTAGCGGTGGTGACGTGAAGTCATGTGACCGTACTGTAGTTCCTTTATAGCCCAGCATTAGCCACCTTTAGCTTATCGGTGGTGACGTGAAGTCATGTGACCGTGCTGTAGTTCCTTTATAGCCTAACATTAGCCGCCTTTAGCTTAGCGGTGGTGACGTGAAGTCATGTGACCGTGCTGTAGTTCCTTTATAGCCCAACATTAGCCGCCTTTAGCTTAGCGGTGGTGACGTGAAGTCATGTGACCGTGCTGTAGTTCCTTTATAGCCCAGCATTAGCCACCTTTAGCTTATCGGTGGTGACGTGAAGTCATGTGACCGTGCTGTAGTTCCTTTATAGCCTAACATTAGCCGCCTTTAGCTTAGCGGTGGTGACGTGAAGTCATGTGACCGTGCTGTAGTTCCTTTATAGCCCAACATTAGCCACCTTTAGCTTAGCGGTGGTGACATGAAGTCATGTGACCGTGCTGTAGTTACTTTATAACCCAACATTAGCCGCCTTTAGCTTAGCGGTGGTGACGTGAAGTCATGTGACCGTGCTGTAGTTCCTTTATAGCCCAGCATTAGCCACCTTTAGCTTATCGGTGGTGACGTGAAGTCATGTGACCGTGCTGTAGTTCCTTTATAGCCTAACATTAGCCGCCTTTAGCTTAGCGGTGGTGACGTGAAGTCATGTGACCGTGCTGTAGTTCCTTTATAGCCTAATATTAGCCACCTTTAGCTTAGCGGTGGTGACCTGAAGTCATGTGACCGTGCTGTAGTTCCTTTATAGCCCAACATTAGCCACCTTTAGCTTAGCGGTGGTGACATGAAGTCATGTGACCGTGCTGTAGTTCCTTTATAGCCCAACATTTGCCACCTTTAGCTTAGCGGTGGTGACATGAAGTCATGTGACCGTGGTGTAGTTACTTTATAACCCAACATTAGCCGCCTTTAGCTTAGCGGTGGTGAAGTGAAGTCATGTGACCGTGCTGTAGTTACTTTATAACCCAACATTAGCCGCCTTTAGCTTAGCGGTGGTGACATGAAGTCATGTGACCGTGCTGTAGTTACTTTATAACCCAACATTAGCCGCCTTTAGCTTAGCGGTGGTGACGTGAAGTCATGTGACCGTGCTGTCGTTCCTTTATAGCCCAACATTAGCCTCCTTTAGCTTAGCGGTGGTGACGTGAAGTCATGTGACCGTGCTGTAGTTCCTTTATGGCCCAGCATTAGCCACCTTTAGCTTAGCGGTGGTGACGTGAAGTCATGTGACCGTGCTGTAGTTCCTTTATAGCCTAACATTAGCCTCCTTTAGCTTAGCGGTGGTGACGTGAAGTATTTTCTTTGTAGGCACAAAGAACAGATACAAATTATATATTTCTCAAATATTAAAGCATTTAAACATGAAGTAGGCATTTTTTTAGAAAAAGGGTTTTATTATTTTGACAATATACATGTTGTGCTGTGGTTGAGCAGTTTAAACAATCTACAGGCAGGATTAACATAAAGAGTAAAGAATAAAAAAGGAAATTCTCTCCAAAAGGACGAGGAAGATTTCTTTATTTCACCCTTTTATTTGCTGGAGGACGAATACAAACATTATAAAATCTAAACAAGCGAGAACCACAGAGATAGAACACAGTAAAGAGTTAAGGAGAGAAGGAAGAGGTAACATATTCGCATAACACATTTCTCCTCAGTGGCCTTGTCTGATGATGATATCCGACATGTCCTCCACCTTCACCAGCTCCAAATTCTGTGACAAAGACAAAGAATATTCCACATTTTAAACTACAATAAACGAAATTAGTAGTTTAGGAGATGGACTTTTATTAATCCCTCGTTTCTCTGCATTTGACCCATCCTAGTGTTAGGAGCAGCGTGCTGCCATTTTGAACGGCGCCCGGGGAGCAGTGTGGGGAACGGTGCCTTGCTCAGGGACACCTCTGTAGCACTTGGTCTTTCCGGGACTTGAACTGGTGACCTTCCAGTTGCCAAGCCAAGTCCCTATGGACTTCGCCACCACCGCCCAAATTTACCGTCTACATTCTTCAATACATGGCCACACGTCTAATACTAAAATGTCTCCTTGTACAATGTTTTAGTAAGCATGGTTGGAACCATTTCCCCTGTATTTTGGACAAGAAATGCCCCGTTATGTCTTTAAAAGAAAATTAATAGCAGAATACTCTACTGTATATTATAGCAGTAGGGCAACAACTCCAATTACATGCACATTATTTACTCTCAAATGTCTTTATGAAACTGACCGTTGAGCGGCCTGACCAAGCAAGGAGGCAGAGGCAAAGAATTCAAATATAACCCGGTGTGGGCATTTATTCATCGCTGTGGTTCAGGATACACAGCCTCAATAACACAGTCACCAGCCACGAGGATCTCACACACACTACCAGCCTCCACAGACAGGGAAAACAGAGCCTAAATACCTACACACTAATCAGCACAACAAGACACAGGTGAGGGGGGGAGGAGACAACACAGGGCATCAGGTGAACACAATCAGGAGTAACAGACATGGGGAAAGGGAAACACTTTTCAAAATAAAAGCACATGTGCAATAGTACAAGGCCCGAAGCCATCTTCGTCACAGTCTTGTTGGCTGTATATTATAGCAGTAGGGCAACAACTCCAATTACATGCACATTATTTACTCTCAAATGTCTTGTTTTCAGTCCAAACACCAAAAGGCATTCCCTTAAATATGATATAAAAGAGAAAATCTCCAGATATTGTATTATATTAAGATGCTAAAAACTCCATATTGCATAATAAGTGTGACCCAAACTGTCACTGACCCTCAGCCACATCATAGACTTTATGCATTAATCTTGTTTTTCATTACACATATTTTATACCAATTCCACTTCAACCATATTCAATGTAAATACTGCTATATTTTTTTGTGTTATTATAGTTTTCTATCTGTGTTTTACTTTTATGCATGCACCACGACACCAAGTCAAATTCCTCGTACGTGTTACCTACCTGGTGATACACCTGTTTCTGATTCTGAGAATAGATTACATTTGTGTAGCGCCTTTCAAGAGACCCAGGGCTGCTTTACATGGTGAACAAACACACAAACACAAACACACACACACACACACACACAAAAAGGGCAAATAATAGTGGTGCACGATAATTATCGGTCCGATATTAGGAATGATGACGTCATCCCGATAAACCCGATAACAGTATTAATAGCCCCGATAATATACAATATATTTTTTGGGTAAGAAAGAAATACTGCGGTGTGGGTGGATTGGGATGAGGGGCCGCTTGTTTTTCACTCGGCTCCTCCCGTTTTGCCAGTACTGTGGTATTAGTGGTTTAGGAAGAGGGGAGTTTCTTCACAAATCCAGCGCTCCCTAACTCATGCCTGGCTGTGGCGTAAATGGTGTGCGGCCGTGAAGCCAGGACAGTAAACAAACCTGTCGTCGGTGGTATGGGACTATTTCAAAGTTTCAGAGTTAGATAGTTCGCTTGCTATTTGTATTAACAAATGCAGAAGTTCCACGAGGAGGGAAAAAGGCAACGAGCTATAATACTTCCAACCTGATTAGTTACCTGAAACATCGCCATCGCTACGATGGTGTGTTAAAAGCGTACGAAGACGCCTGCGCTGCTAAACTAGCGGGGAATCCAAAGCCAGCTGCAAAGGCACCGGGGCTTTTACCTCTCGACGAGGCTTTTGAAAAAGTTTATTTGGGAAAATAAATATGGTCACTTTGAAGAGTCAAAACTGTTCTTGGCTTTGTTTTGTTCATAGTAGTAATGCTCATGTCATTTGCTCACTACTAGTCTTTTCTGTACCACCAGGTGTGCAAAAACTACAGGTACATTTAATATATATATATATTATTATCGGTTATCGGTATCGGTCTTGAGAAGCAGGAAGTTATCGGTATCGGTTTCAAAAACCCAATATCGTGCATCCCTAGCAAATAATAAAGTAAAATTCCGATTCTGATTAATATACATCTATGAAACAAAATGTCACCTTTTCGTTGGCCAGGTGGAGCAGAGCGACGAAGGCCAGCGGCACCGAGAGGTTCTGAGCCATGGTGTTCGGCAGTCTGGACAAAGAGAGAAACACCATGCATTTTACATCATAGATTACAAACATGGTGCCTTCAAGGACAATAGGAACAATCTGATACCAGATATCTTTTACAGTGTTTTGTTGGGTTTAAAAACAAATGAGCAAAACCTGCAGGACCTTTGCCGTGCTCAAAATACAAAATGGAGTCTTCTACAGAGATCGGAGAAGTACTCAGATCTTGTACTTGAGTAAAAGTAGAAGTACTCAAATCTTGTACTTGAGTAAAAGTAGAAGTACTCAGATCTTGTACTTGAGTAAAAGTAGAAAGTACTCAAATCTTGTACTTGAGTAAAAGTAGAAGTACTCAGATCTTGTACTTGAGTAAAAGTAGAAGTACTCAGATCTTGTACTTGATTAAAAGTAGAAGTATCAGATCTTGTACTTGAGTAAAGTAGAAGTACTCAGATCTTGTACTTGAGTAAAAGTAGAAGTACTCAGATCTTGTACTTGAGTAAAAGTAGAAGTACTCAAATCTTGTACTTGAGTAAAAGTAGAAGTACTCAGATCTTGTACTTGAGTAAAAGTAGAAGTACTCAGATCTTGTACTTGATTAAAAGTAGAAGTACTCAGATCTTGTACTTGAGTAAAAGTAGAAGTACTCAGATCTTGTACTTGATTAAAAGTAGAAGTACTCAGATCTTGTACTTGATTAAAAGTAGAAGTACTCGGATCTTCTACTTGAGTAAAAGTAGAAGTACTCGGATCTTGTACTTGATTAAAAGTAGAAGTACTCGGATCTTGTACTTGATTAAAAGTAGAAGTACTCGGATCTTGTACTTGATTAAAAGTAGAAGTACTCGGATCTTGTACTTGATTAAAAGTAGATACGATTTAAGTACTCGGATCTGTACTTGATTAAAAGTAGAAGTACTCGGATCTTGTACTTGATTAAAAAGTAGAAGTACTCGGATCTTGTACTTGATTAAAAGTAGAAGTACTCGGATCTTGTACTTGATTAAAAGTAGAAGTACTCGGATCTTGTACTTGATTAAAAGTAGAAGTACTCGGATCTTGTACTTGATTAAAAGTAGAAGTACTCGGATCTTGTACTTGATTAAAAGTAGAAGTACTCGGATCTTGTACTTGATTAAAAGTAGAAGTACTCAGATCTTGTACTTGATTAAAAGTAGAAGTACTCAGATCTTGTACTTGATTAAAAGTAGAAGTACTCGGATCTTGTACTTGAGTAAAAGTAGAAGTACTCAGATCTTGTACTTGATTAAAAGTAGAAGTACTCGGATCTTGTACTTGATTAAAAGTAGAAGTACTCAGATCTTGTACTTGAGTAAAAGTAGAAGTACTCAGACCATGTACTCAGGCAGGGCTCCAGCTTAAGGACGTCACGTCGTAGAAAAAAATAGGGTCGGAAAGGATAAAAAAAAATGTTGGGACGAGAGTTAAAATAAAAATACCCTAACTCTCTACGAACGGCGATGAAATGAAACCGACTGCATGTTTTGTGTAGCACACAGTTATTAAACCTCCTTGTCAACATAAACACACACGCACAAAATATTTAGCAACCCGTGAAATACACACACAGTATGTATACATTTTCTTTATGTTGTTTTGAGTCAATGGGCACAAGCCTCTTTGTTAGCACACACGTCTTTTCTGTTTTTATTAATACAAATAAAACATTCTTTAAGATTAGTGCACTATTTGTGTGTTTTCTGCTACTTAGACACACTTATAATACTTACATTATATACAGATCCGTTGATTTTAAATTACATTTGTTGATTATATTTCACATCATTAATCCAAATCTGTAAAGTAAGTAAAGGTATTCAATAAATGTAGTGGAGTTAAAGTACACCATTTACCTCTGAACTGTAGTGGAGTAGAAGTACTAAGAGTAGCATAAAATGGGGATACTCGAGTAAAGTACCTCTAAATTGTACTAAAGTACTTTTACTTCCCATCTCTGGTCTTCTATAACCAAGTAGAAACTCTGAACTCAAAATATTAAAATCTGTTAATTTGTTGCTCGTGTTCGTACCTCTGCAGCAGGATCTGTGTGGTCTGACTGAAAGCTTTCTCTCCAAACACTTCTGTTTTCTCCACAGCATCCGTCTCCTGCAGGGACATCAGGGAATATCAATCAACAGAAACACACAGGTCAATCTCTCAATTCTAGCACAAGAAGTGATTAATTAATAATCCGTTTTTCAGGGGAAAAATCTGACATTTTAAAAAGTTTGAATACTTTGAAAAAAAGTTTGAATATTTTGAGGAAAAAGTTTAAATATTTTGAGAATTTTTTTGGAATATTTTCAGAAAAAAAGTTGAAATACTCTGTGAAAAAAAGCCTGAATACTTTGTGAAAAAAAGTTTGAATATTTTGAGGAAAAAGTTTAAATACTTTGAAAAAAAGTTTGAATGTTTTGAGAAAAAAGTTTGAATATTTTGAGAAAAAAGTTTGAATACTTTTGAAAAAAAGTTTAAATACTTTGAAAAAAAGTTTGAATATTTTGAGGAAAAAGTTTAAATACTTTGTGAAAAAAAGTGAATACTTAAAGTTTTGTGAAAATCTTAAGAATATTTTGAGGAAAAAGTTTGAAAAAGTTTTTATATATATATATAAAAAAACACATTTTCAAACTTTAAGTATTTTGAATATTTGAATAAATGTATTTATTCAAATATTCAAAATACTTAAAGTTTGAATATTTAGAGGAAAATGTTTTAATATATATATATATATTTTGTGAAAGAAGTTTAAATACTTTGTGAAAAAAAGTTTTAATGTTGAATGTTTAAATAATTTGAGGAAAAAGTTGTTACATTTTCCAAAAACAAATCTGAAAATGTCCAGAAATGTAAACGAAAAAGTTTGATTACTTTGTGAAAAAAAGTTTGAATATTTTGTGAAAAGAAAGTTGGAATACTTCGAAGAAGTTAGAATACTTTGAGCAAAACACCTGAAGATACAAAGTATGAGTGTTTTTTACCTGCGACGGTTTGTCGGGGCTCTCGGTCAGGAGGCTCCACATGCCGTTCTTCAGTCTCTTCATGTCCATCTTCTTCGCCGTTTTAGCGTAATTTATCTCTATCTTGTTGACCTGCAATACAGAAAGCAAACATTTAACTACAAGTAAGGCAAGATAAGAGATAAGAAGTACTGTATTGATCAATTTGGGAAATGTTTGTGTTGCAGCAGCATAAAGACTGCATTGCACAATAAAAATTAAAAGAAATAAACAAGAAAGTAGAAAATATACATGTTGAATTTACAAATGAACAACAAGATGTAAAGCAAGTTATTATATATACACAAGTATGTGACAGATGGAATATTAAATATTAAACTGTAAATGTGACAGTGTGATTTTAAGGGTGGGGAAATGTATATCACCATTTTTGTTTTTATGGGGTTTCAACACCATTACATTTAATTATTTTCCTAGATTTTACAGATCAAGGTAATTTTTGCTATAAAAGGACGATTTCATTATTATTATATCATTTTTTATTATGAGAGCTTTTTCAAGGCAAGTGTAGCAAAAAAACCAACTTTGCATGACCCATAGATGAGAGTAACACCTACGTCGCTTCCGGGCGAAAAGTATGGCCCCGCCCACTTTGGGGGGAAAACAACGCTGTCATTTGAACGGCGGTCAATAGAAATTCTGAAGTTGTTGCCAATCCGATCAGGAATGTAATAAAAACGTGGATTTTTGGATCTTCAAAGCGCCCGGTTACGATGGCCAGACAGGCAAACAATCACATTAAATCATTGAAATCGACAATCGGTCTCGATATATGGTTATATTAAAATCAGAAGGCAAGGCTGTAATTTCGCCAGCTGTTACTCTCATGAGCGAGGTGGAAAATAATTGTGTTATCATGCCAACAAGCTGCTGTGTCGTTTATTGCACCTCAGACATTAAAACAAATCCAGAGTTCAGTGTTTCTGTACTTCCTCTAAGAAGAAAGGACAGTCACGGCCCGTCCACACAGCGGCGTGCGTTGAAAGCTTCACCATTCCCTTTTTAAACTGCATTGTGGGAAGCGACGCAGAGCTTTGCTGACGTGGCTCGCGAGCAATGAGCAATGTTAAACTTTTGAAGCCTCGGCAGAAGCGTCAGCCAATCGAATCATACGCCAGTACAAGCTCTAGCCAATCAAACCGCTGCTTGTGTGTCAGGGGCGGGAGATTCATGTGATTGGTGGTTGGTCGAGTTTCAGACAAGCCCGCCGGCAAGCTTCAACGCACACCGCTGTGTGGACGGGCCGTAAAAGAAGAGCTCTGTGGCTTCAGGCTTGATCGCCGTTCAAATGACAGCGTTGGTTGATTTCCCCGAAAAGTGGGCGGGGCCGTAAAGTTACGTAGATGTTACTCTCATCTCTGGACATCGATCGCCTACTGCTATATTTAACCATATATCGAGCAGATTTCCAATGATTGAATGTAATTGTTTGCCTAACCATCGTAACCGGGCTCTTTGAAGTTCCAAAAATCCACGTTTTTCTTACATTTCTGATCGGATTGGCAAAAACTTCTGAATTTGTATTGACCGCCGTTCAAATGACAGCGTTGTTTTCTCCCCAAAAGGGAGGGGGCCGTAATTTTCGCCCGCAAGTGACGCATGTGTTACTCATGTATTGTGTGTTTGTTTTTAACTTACAAGATATTGTTGTTCTCTATCAAATTCAGCACAAACTTTAAAAGGATTTCAAAGATGTCCTAAAATATTGGGGACGGTATTATGTTATACAATATAAAGATAACACCTATTTTAACTAAATGAACACTAGTTTATATGTTCAGAAATATTTTATTTTTAAACAGGGACGTGTTTATTGGCTACAAATAGCTATCTATATATTTCTATGTGTAGCCTGCCTAATATTGCAGTTTAATTGTAAATGCTATGATTGCACTCACATCTGCACACTAATGCAAATATTAGTTCGTACAAACGCTCAACTATTTACTGTGATATCTTGTTTCAATAGTGACTTTATCACTTTTTCTTTGCTGTATTATTATTGTAATTTGTATTCTATTTTTATCTTTACATTTACACTGACACTGTTGCTGCTATAAACATCTGAATTTCCCCAAGGGGATAAATAAAGCTCCATCTTATCCGATCCATTCTCTGAGATAATTCCAGTGAAGTATAATTAGATTTTTGTGCGTAAAGATATTATTAAAACATCTTTTGAGCATTAAAGCCTGGCACTGACCCGATGCGGCTCCGGCACCAAATCCTGCTCCCCGTAGGTGGTGATGTCCTCCAGAGAGGGGGGGGGCAAGCTTTCCGCTGAAGGGTCGTCTGCAAACCCTTCAGCGTCATCATCACTGTCTCCACCCTGCAGAGGAAGACGGACACACACACACACACAATTAGACCTGTTGCAGAGGCAAAGTTAGATTTTGGACGTTGTTAAACTTTGAGAATTTTTTTTGGGGACATTTTAGGAATAAGTTTGAATATTTTGAGAAAAAAGTTTGAATATTTTGTGAAATAAAGTTCAAATAATTGGAGAAAAAGTTGCTACATTTTCAGAAAAACATGTTGAACATTTTAAGGGAAAAGTTAGAATATTTTAAAGGGGACATATCATGCTATATTTGAACAATATATTGTAGGGCCATACCTATATAAAGTATATAAATATAGCTTTTTTTTCAAAATACCAAACAGATCCTGCATTTTAGCCATGCCTCATTTCGCTCTATTTGCTCTTTCCAGCCCTGTTTTTGCAGGGGCTGATTCTGTGAGCTGCAGCTGACCACGCCCCCCTGCAGGAGAGGGGAGCGTGCTCTGAGATCAGCTGCCGGGCTGCAGCGGGGAGAAGAGGGGGAGAAAAAGAGATCTCCGTCCTCCGTGTTTTATTCTTATATGATTATATAGAGTCATTATTCATTTGTTTTAAAGCTCAATAAATAACAAAGAAGACATTTGACCGGCTGTTACAGCCGCTACTTTCGTTATGCCATTAACTCTGTTTGTGTGTGCATATGTAAATGAGCTGTGCAGTTCCTCTGCTGTCATTGGCCGTCCCGACCTCGCAACATCCGCGGTGATTGGACGGACGTCATCCAATCCCCGCCCGCTTCTGCCACGTCATCCGGGGGAGGAGTACAAAGGCCGGGCACGGACATCATTCAGGAGGCTCTGTATTGTGTGCCTCAAGCCTCTCATTGTGATACCGCCATATCCTGTGATTCATTAGACTGCCTAGCAGTGTGTTCAGTAGGGTTCCTGTGTTAGTTACACTGATTAGCAGTGTGTTGTTAGCGTTCTGTGTTTAGCATTGGTGTGTATATTGCTTAGACCCAGGTGACTAGCGCCTGTAGATCAGCATTGGTGTGTATATTGCTTAGACCCAGGTGACTAGCGCCTGTAGATCAGCACCAGCTGTGTTCTCCCACAGCCTCGTTGGTTTATTGTTTTGTTCCACTTTAGAAGTGAGATATTTTCTTTCCTTTTTGTATAGTACTGGGCAACTCTCTTTTGGAGACCCTTTTGTTAGATAGTAACAGTTTGACCCGTTGTTGGGCCAAACTGTTTGTGTATATCATTTTACTCATTTGCAGTTACAAATAAACCGCTTGTAACACATACCAATTCTACTCTGGTCGTGTCATTTCCCTTTTGTTCCCCGAGCCAATAGGGAACGTAACACCGGCACTTTTCTAATTTTGTCCGGAAGATTGAAACTTTAACGGACATGTTGACCGGCGGAAAAAAATCTAACAGAAACTCTGCCGCACGGTCCCCTCGTTCCTTGGGAGAGGCGGGTGTTTGTCATCTGCTGGTGGACTAACTGGAGAGAATTACAGCGAGGAGGGATTGCATTGAATTACAGGAGCAAACGCTTGCCTCGGGGAGGGAGAAAAAGAGCCACAGCGGAGAATAAACAGAATGGCAACCATGGCAACCATGAGCGGGGAAGTCTTCTTCGCTGCTTTTGTGGCAGACTACAGCGCCACTTACAGGCGTGGCACATGTACTACAGCGTCTCCAGCGCTTTCGAGCGGCAATGGCCGGCCGTGGCCCAACCTCTCATTCCCCTGATAGGTGGAGAATTGACCACTAAGCGGAGCACCACTTTTGTGACGTAGAAAATAATTCAAATCTGGATCAGTCTGTGTCAGATCCGTTGCAGCCCTTTTTTAGAGATTTGGGTACGGAGGAAAAGAGAGAGGGTTGTGTTTTCTGACAGTTGGTGAGTTCCCTGGAACACCGGGGACACATATTCATGTATAAAAGACATACAAAAGTGCATTTTGCATGATAGGTCCCCTTTAAGAAAGAATTCCGAATATTTTGAGAAAAAAATCAGAGAGGTAAAGTTAGATTTTTGGACGTTGTTACATTTTCAGAATATTTTGGGGGACATTTAAAGAAAAAAGTTTGAATATTTTGTGAAAAAAGTTTGAATAATTCTCTAAGGAGAAGAGCTGGAATATTAAAAAGAATTCTGATGGTAATCCTCTATCATTAGATCCTCATGATATCATAAACAGGGTTGGGGAGGAACTGGTTTTAATAAAAATATATTGAATGTAAAGAAATATATGAAGCAGTTCAGACCTGGAGACCTGGACAGAAGTTGGCCGTGTCGTTGGCGTTGTTGTAGTCGTAATCTCCGATTCCTTCTCCCAGCTCTCCTGACAGCCTTTTCTGGCCCTCCTGAGTCAACTACAGGTACAAAAACAAGATATTAAAACACAAAAACAAGATATTAAAACACAAAAACAAGATATTAAAACACAAAAACAAGATATTAAAACACAAAAACAAGATATTAAAACACAAAAACACAAAGACAAGATATTAAAACACAAAAACATGAGACCAGAAGTATTTTTGGATCCTGTTGTATCTTTGACTTTTTATTTTCCAGAATATTGTATTGCTGATATTTCATATATGATATCATATTTTTCATTTAATTTTTAATTGTTAATTCTCTTTTCGACTTTTTAAAGTATTTTAAGTATTGTATTATAAAGTCTAATCATTAAAGCATCTATCCATCTATCTAAACAGTTACAGATACTCAGGGCACATTACATGTAAACTGTAGCATGTATAATCCTTCTGTTTATGTCATTTAGAATAAAACGCTGACAACCATTAGAATTATGCGACATTTTTGCTGATATTTACTTGGACTTAATTGATGAATAATGTCAAGCTTCAGCCAACAGTTGACTGTATTTCTGAAGGGGACGTGTGTGTTTTATTGCGTGTCGACCTTTGACC